GCTCCTGATGTTTCTGTTGTTGCTGCTGCTGTTCTGGCTGCTGCTTCTGCTGCTGCTGCTGCTGTTGCTGCTGCTGCTGCTGCTGCAGCTGCTGCTGTTGTTGTTGTTGTTGTTGCTGCTGCTGCTGCTGCTGCTGTTGCGGTTGTTGCTTCTGTTTGCGGTTGTCTTTTGGGGTTCGTGTCTGTGCTTCTTGCTTTTGCTCTTTATCCTGACTGTGGAGTGTCTGCTGCTGCTGTTCTGGCTGCTGCTGCTGCTGTTGTTGCTGTTTTTGCTGCTGCTGCTGCTGGTGCTCGTGCTGCTGCGGTGCTTGATGTTTTTGCTGCTGCTGCTCCGCCACCGTTGGCTCATCCACTTTCTCTTTTTGCTGCTGTGGCTGCTCCTGCTGTTCCTCCTGTTGCTTCTGCTGCCGCTTCTGCTGTTGCTTCTGCGGCTGCTGCTGCTCCTGTTGCTGCTGCTGTTGCTCCTGCTGCTGCTTCTGCTGGAGCTTCTGCAGCTGCTGCTCCTGCTCCTGCTGCTGCTCCTGCTGCTGCTCCTGCTGCTGCTGCTTCTCCTCCTCCTCCCTCTGCTGCTGCTTCTGCTGCTGCTTCCGCTGCTGCTTCTGCTCCTGCTGCTGCTGCGCCTGCTGCTGCTGCTCCTGCTGCGGCTGCTCATGCTGCTGCTGCTCCTCCTCCTCATCCTTCTGCTGCTGCTCTTGTTGCTGCTCCTGCTGCTGCTCCTTCTCCTCCTTCTGCTGCTGCCTCTGCTTCTCCTGCTGTTGCTCCTGCTGCTGCTCCTGCTGCTGCTCCTGCTGCTGCTCCTGCTGCTCCCGCTGTTTCGGCTGCTCCTGCTGCTGCTGCTTCTGCTGCTGCTTCTGCTGCCGCTGCTTCTGTTGCTGCTGCTCCTGTTGCTCCTTCTCCTGCTTCTCCTGCTGCTGCTTCTGCTGCTGCTCCGGCTGCTGTTGGGGAGCTTCTGGAGGCTCCACAGGCTGTTGCATCAGCTGTTGCTGCTGCTGCTGCTGCTGCTGCTGCTGCTGCTGAACCTGCACTTGAGGCTTTTCTTGCTGCACCTCTGGTGAGGCGTGCGGCTGTTGCTGCTGCGGTTTCTGCTTCTGTTGCTGCTGCTGCAGCAATTGCTGAAGTTGCTGTTGCTGCTGCTGTTCGAGCTGAGGCATTTTCTGCTGCTTTTCTTGTGATGGCGCCTGTTGATGCTGCTGCTGCTTCTGCTGGTGCTGCAGTTGTTGTTGCTGCTGCTTCTGCTGCCGTGTCTCGTCTTGCGGTTCGTTTTGCTGCTGCTGCTGATGCTGTTGCTGCTGCTGTTGCTGCTCCTGCTGCAGTTGCTGCTGCTGCTGTTCTTTTGAAGCCCCTGTCGGAAGCAGCAAGGAGGCCCTAATCACAAGACTTCCCCTCGCCTTTGCTGCTGCTCCAGCAACAGCAGCAGCAGCAGAAGCAGCAGCAGAACCAGAAGCAGCAGCAGAAGCAGCAGCAGGGAGTTGTCTTTCAGACTTCAGTTGCAAGAGGCTTCTCCTTGTTGCCCCAGCAACGGCAGCAGCAGCAGCTGAGGCAGCTGCTGCAGTAGCACAAGATGCAGTCGGCTGCTGCTGCTGCTGTTGATGCTGCTGCTGTTGCTGCTGCTGCTGCTGTTGCTGTTCCTGCTGTTCCTGCTGCTGCTGCAACTGCTGCTGCTTCTGCTGCTGTTTGATAGCAGGGACATCTGAATTGTTGCATTCGATGGTGGGCGTTGTTGCATTAATCTTTGCTGCTTCATCGGCTGCTGCAGGAGCAGCAGCAGCAGCAACAACAACAGCAGCAGCAGCAGCTGCTGCTGTTGCTGCTGCTGGTCCTGAGGACGTGGCTTCGCTCGAGGGTTCCCCAGCGTCAACATCACTAGCGCAGGGTAGCCGAGCAGCAGCAGCAGCAGCAGCAGCAGCAGGAACGGGAGTATCTGACACGGCTGCATTGTCAGCAGCAGCAGCAGGATCAGCAGCGGCAGCAGCAGCAGCAGCACTAGGTTTCGTGGTAGCCTCATCGGCAGTAGATGCAGCACTACCGCTTTCAACAACAACAGCAGCAGCAGCAGCAGAAGCACCAGTAGCAGCAGCAGCAGCAACGTTTGTACTACAAGCGGGAGCTGCTGCTTGGGCTGCTGCTGCTGCTTGCTTCTTTTCTTTTTTGCTGCTCTCTGCTACTACTGGCGCAGCAGCAGCAGCAGCAGCACTGGGAGTGTCTGCAGCAGCAGCAGCATTGGGAGTGTCTGCAGCAGCAACAGCATTGGGAGTGTCTGCAGCAGCAGCAGCATCAGCAGCAGCAGTATCTGCTGCTGTTGCTGCTGCTTCTGCTGCTACTGCTGCTGTACTGTGTGGGATGCTGGAGCTGCGCCTGCGCTGCAGCAAGAGGCTTTGTCTTGCTGTTGCTGCTGCAGACGCAACAGCAGCAGTTGCTGCTGTTGCGGCTGCAGGTATATCTGTGTGGCTATCTTCGTTTTTTGCGGAGCCGAGCAGCAGCATACTCCGCCGTGCTGCTGTTGCTGCTCCAGCAACAGCAGCAGCAGCAGCAGCAGCAGCAGCAGCAGCTGGGGGCCCCTCTAGGGGCCCCCCCTCAGGTGGTGGATCCTTTGCAACCATCCAAGTGAAGGGATGGAGTTGTCTCCTGCATCAGCAGCTCCTGCAGCAAGCAGCAGTAGCAGCAGCAGC